ACCGCGTTTCTGAATACGTCCACGTAAATGTTCCATTGAAGGTGCGGTAATAAATAAATATAATACATTTAATTGTTCTCCATTCTGACGAAGTTTCTGGGCACCGTTTACATCAATCTCAATAATACAAACCTTTCCGGTATCCCGTACCGCCTTCACGGCATTTAATGTAGTACCATAGAGATTTCCATGAACTTCACATACTTCAAGAAAGGCATTTTCTTTTTGTAATGTTTCCACAGTGGGGCGATCTACAAAAAAATATTCCCGGCCGTGTTGTTCGCCTTCACGTGGGGCACGAGTTGTGTGAGAGACGGAATAACCAAAACGATCAGGAAATGCCTTCATCAATCGTCCAAGAAGTGTCCCTTTCCCCACACCAGAGGGTCCACAAACGGCAATCGCATCCAACGGAAGTCGTTTACTAGCCATTTTATTATCAATGTATACCTAAAGAAAAAGAAAGAGCAAACAAGGAAAAAAGAAAAAAAAAAAAAAAATCGAAAGCCTAACTTTTTATTCACCCTGTTGTCGGTGTTGTTTCGTGGTTGGATTTTCTAATAAAGGAAAAAAGGAGAAAAGAAATACAAAGAAAAAAAAAAAGAACATTTCATATACAGAGTTAAACACATATATGTATATACATATTATTATTATGTATTATTTACCAACCTTATTTACTTATCCATGTATCTATCGACCCATCGTACACATAAACATATACACTTGTAGTCTTTTTTTTTTTTTTTTTCTTCTCATCACCTCTTTTGTTTTTCCAACAATGCACAGGTGTCCCGCATATGTTGAATAACCCCTCGAAGTTCCTCTGCATTGGCTTCTGCGGAACTAATTCGTTGTTCGATACTCTCTCGCAACTCCTCCTGTTCTTTCTTTAAGGCCGCTAAAACTGCCCGCATCGCTTCAACAGATCCACTCAATCGTTTTGGCTCATGGGCATGCATGATGGCTTCAAACGGGAAGCACCACGGAGGAAGCGTTGACATCTCGCGAACCTTTATATAAGTCCCATCTTCCTCATTATTATTATTATTATTATTATTATTATTATTATTATTATTATTATTTGTGATATCATTACAACGTCGACGCTTCTCACCAGTAGAAGAATGATGGTCATCACTACTTCCCTCCTGTTCTTCTATATGTGTTTGTGGAGGGAGGGCCGCTTTCTGTCCTGGCAATACACAAAAAGATGGTGGGGCTTCTAACATTGGCTGTGAAAGAGTCCGTAGAGTTTGCAGATAACGTACAACTTTTAATGTTGGGTGAAAAATACGTATTGCATCTCGCCGTTCGGAAACGATTGGAATATCCCCAAGGTCTTCCAAGTTAACACATATACCCGATTCCCCACTAGCATCCTCCTCATGGTTATTATTATTATTATTATTATTATTATTATTGTCGTTGTTATTCACATTACTAGTTTCTTCATTCTGTGACGTATGGCTACTACGTCGACGTCGTCTTTGCAAACGAGCCTTTTCAGCTTTCTTTAACGCCTCTGGAGACGGTAAAATAACAGTTGGTGGAGGTTTCGTTTGCCCAAATGTTGAACTTAATAACTGAGGAGGAAAATCCGCTCGTGTTTGTAAAAACACCATATGTGCAACTGTAAAAGGTGCGATACCAAGCCATGGACGAAAGTGTACTTCCATTTCCACCATATGTTCTGCCCATGTATCATCTACTACAAAGAAAGGTGGACGAGTTAATTCACGAAGAGGTTCAGGAAAACTATTAGGAAGTTTAAACACCACACGCTCCACAAGTGCATAGAGTGGAGAGGATGTATTTAATACTCCATCACATTCCTCCAGTGAAGAGGAAAGGGGAATATTACAAGTCGTTTCATAATAAGAACGACGATAAGCCAAATCCTGTGGGGCAATCGCCCCATCTCGTAAATAACAATATCTTATATGTGTACAACGACTAATCCCCGCATTATAATCATGCTGTTCCTCCGTATTACCACCACTTTCATTTGTAGTCATTGAATGTTGATTTTCTTTTCGCCGTTTTTGTTTTTGTTGTTTTGCTGTGCGTGTGTTTGTGGCTGGTGAAGTGGCGAGAGATGTGGATGAGGATGGACGACAGAGTGAGAGTGGGAGTGCGACACTTCCAATGCAGAAGGGAATGAGAACCGCACCCGTGTAGGCCACAGCATCATCTTCCCCCACCGCACTTCTCTCACTTCCCCGCATCTCAAAATGTGAAATAAACTCCCCTCTCCCTTCTTTTTCTTTATATTATCCCACAGATATACAGAGATAGATAGATAGATAGATAGATAGATAGAGAGAGAGAGAGAGAGAGAGAGAACTCCTCTCAACTCAGAGAAAGAGAAAAACTCCAACGTACTGTACGTAAGGAATTAAAATGATGGATGGATTTTTAAATGCGGGTGGTAGTGATGATAGTGGTGAGGGAAACTTCTTCTTCCCGCTAATACATTATTGTCCAGTGAAGAGAAGAA